TTTTTTTTTTTCTTTAAAAGTATAAACTTTTTTTTTTTCTTTTTTTTCCTTCTCTCCCCTCCTTTCTTCATTCCCTCCGTCACGATTTGTACAACTCGGTGTTTATGGCAGCAATAAAGCGTTTTGTTCCTCCCAGCGCTTTGATTTCTCGGTTTTGTCACCACAAAAATAAAACTTGACGGCTTGGCCCGTGGTTGGTGGTGGCTGTGGAGGGGGAGGGAGGTGACACGTCCAGGCAGGAGGTCACAGCAATGTCACCCCGACCCCCTCGCTCTGCAAGGTCCTCACGTCCAGTTCACTCGGGGGAGGGAAAAACAAACCCTACAGCTCCATGAGGAACGTCCTGAAAAAGTGACCCTGAGGATTGTGGTAGGTCCCAAATCCAGTTCTACTGTAAATGAAGCTTGACTCCACTGAAAACAAAACGTACACCCACAAACAGTAACAAGAATAATAAAAAAAAACCCTTTGAAGTATGAAGCATCGTCCTGGGTCCTTCACAAACAAAAAAACCCCAAAAAAACCCACACACACACACACAAAAATCAACCAAAAAAACCTTCCCAGCTGGAGGTTGTCGAGACAGTAATGTTCTACAATATCACTGAATTAACCAGTTTGCAAAAGAAACCCAGACCAAAACATGGTTTATGCAGCACTGCCACCCAAACAGACTGATATGCTGTGCCATATTGTTGTGCAGCAAATTATATGGTGCAATAGCTTGTTGTTTTTTTTAAAAAACCACATTTTACTCTTATTTTGGAAAGCTTTAAAATAATGCAACATAGTATTTTGATATTACAGTATTAACAAATAGTGCTTATTAAAGACATCTGCAAGTCTTCATAGCAACACATGAAGTTAAAATTACCAATGGAGGTAAATATAGAAATACAATAATCTGCGCCATAACTGACAGCTAAGTAAGAACATAGCTGAGGATTTAAATACAAATTCATTTATATTTAATTATTTCAGGAAACATTAGAAAGAATCTAAATGTTACAGCTACCTTAAAATGGAAGGGTTGTTTGCAAGTACAATTGGTGGCCTGCTGGTCTAGCAACAGGGTTTTCAGGAATCTAATTCAAAGAGTACTGAGTGGAAGGCGACCAAATGGCTTAAATACAGTAATAGCTAAATACATGTTTTTAATTGGAATGGAAAGACCTCAGACTCTTCCTTTACTGGATACTTAAGAGGAGGTAAATCTCCACAGCTACTTGATACAGGGCACTGCCAGGAACAGTATTTTCTTGCAAGACCATTTTGAGATGCTAGAGCTGAGACTTACAAATAGTTAAGCTTGCACTTGCTAAAGAACCCCAGTTATTGGATTGTGACAATTTTATTTATAAACCAGCTATTATGAGCACTTAAAATAGTTGAATGCAAGCAGCTAACAAAAAATATGCCCAATGTAATAGCTGGCTCCCTGGTGCTGGCAGGTTTGATATGTACATTGCTGGCTGTGACTACACTCCAGAATGGGCCCTCCTAATATTTTCTAGTGGTTACTATAATTAACATTTACTTTGATTGCATCTGGGGGGAAAAGTGGGGAAATGGCAGCTTTTACAGTCGGAGAGTTTCACAGGGAAGGCTGTGGTCCAGAATACAGTTACACCAATGTTCAGGCAGCTGATTCACTTACCTTCATGAATTCAAGTCAGATTTAACACAAAGCCACACCAAAACCCAGCCCTTGGAATTTGGCTAACTGAGCCAGGCTTAAAAATGACCACGGAGCAACAAAGCTTAAAAAAACCCCGAACAAAACAAAACAAAAAAACAAACCCACAGACATAGGACATATGCTTTGAAAATTCCAGTTTTAGGAGCACTTCTCCACTTCAAAAACCTCAGCCAAATAAGGGGGAAAAAAACAACCCTTCTGTAAGATAAAAAAAATGTGCTGTTTAATCTGCAGTGCACTACCATGATCAAGATGAAGTAATAAGCAGACCCAGTTTTTAACTCTCTTTATCAAAATATGCTAGCTTCTGATTGCACTCATGTTCTTGTGAAGAAATGGCTGAAAAATTTCATCATCAATTGTACAACTTCTTTATACAAAGCCAAAAAAAAAAAAGGTTGCTAATATTGTATATACATAATTCAGTGAAACTGTTTATATGAGAAATTCTCTCAGGCAGGCAATTCTGCATTCAGGAAACGTTTTTTTCATGAACACAGCAGGTTTTGTAAATGCAAGTGAATTCTTTCTGGTAGAGGATTCACAACGGGTGCACAAATGGATCTTAAAACTTGCTCCTTTCAAGGTTTGAACCAGCCAGACAGACAGGATTAAGACCCAGGACACGGGTTATCCTAACAGGCTCATGTGAGCACTGCAGGAGTTCAGTTTTTAATCTGGCAGTCAGATGAGGAACCCAGGAAAAGCATCTGCAGTTGCTCTTCAGCACCCGTAGGGGCTATTTTAGAGCAGCATCAGACATTTGGCATGTGCTAGGGAGAAAGGAAGGAAACTACTGAGAGAAAATGGTGACTGAAGATAGAGGGAGAGGTTTAAGAAAGCCTTGTAATTTGTCAGTCCCTTTCCTAGGGAGGGCTAAGCCTCCTTGGCACATGCCCCAGCCAGAGCCTGAAAAGGGGATATGGAGAAGGCCACACACTGATACTTAGGACCTTCACGACAGTGCCAAAAATACATTAAAAAGGAAAATGTTCAGGGTTTCTTGCTGTTTTGTTGTTTGTTTGTTTTTTTACTAGTGGAATAAAATCTGAATACCAGAATTCACTGAGAATCTATATACACCACATTTTAGTTAAACACACACCAATCTTAAAGTCAAGATTGACTATATTTGTATTTGTAAAATGGCTAGAGCTGGGCTAAATTTCAGCCTCACAGGAGACTTTGGATAAGATCAGAGTTTTCTGTGTGTTCCACATCAGATTCACATTTTATCCCAAATGTGGAAGAAAGTAACACAGTCACCACAGTGCCAAGAATATCTAGGTAATAACAATGCACAACAGATACTCTTATAATATTAAAACTTGTATACTGGAAAGAGATCTGAGAATCTAGCCACAGCTCTGAACCATAGCACAAACTTCAGTTGAAGAGTTTATTCATTTTATTCTCACTACAAGTTAAACCACCTACAATATCACTTATATATTGCCATTGTTACTCTGTAAAGGTGTGATATAAAATGCTGTAAGACCCGGTACCTTTTCAATTTATATAAACACAGTGAACTTCATTACTGTACATGTACTCTGCAACTACAGCTTAGCTGTAAATCCCCCACACACAATGGTATGGACATTAACCCCTCTATCCCCATTAAACTGTACATCAAGACAATACAAATTTACTGTCCCCACCCACCCCTTACAAAAAAATAATACTCTAAAAGCAACCTACTGCAACTTTTAATTAAGACGATTACATATATTTTAGACCAATTGCTTTAAAGCAAGAAGGCAGTATAAACCTTCTAGGAAAATTTTTATAAAAGAGGTTAAGAAATATAAGACAATTTATACATTTAAAAACTTACAATAAATAAGAGATGCAGGCATTTTTGAATACTAGATACTATAATCCAATACAAGAACATCTTCATGTTCCGAAGCCATAGGTTGAAATTTATTGTTCCTCATGTTTCTTCTCATCTTCATGCTTTGAATATTCATTAACCATGACTGGGTACTATGGCTCATTACTCTTCACAAATACTGTGGTTGGGGGAAAATGGTTAATTCTGCTACTAAAAATGTTATAATACACTTTCTGATCATCAATCTAAAGTGTTCCTGACAGCCGATGACTCCAAGACAGTAGGTGCCCCTCTCACCAGTCAAAACAATATTTGCTAGAAGTAACAAGATTCATACCCCATCACAAACAACTTGCACTGAGAAGAATTATAACTTAGTCCTGCAGTGAAATATCCCTTTTCCTTATTTGTGTCTTGCAAAATTCAGATGAAGATCACAGCATATTCATGATAAAGTTATACAACTGATTCAGCACCACAAAATGAACTGGGAGACATGACCGTCTGTCCTGGGTTGCAGGATCACAGGTTAGCCAGGAGAGTGCATTGTACTGTTCCAGAACAAACCTGAAAAGCAAACAAGCTCCCATCAAGCCAACAGATTTTCTCACCAGGTTTTTAGAGCCCTAATTTAACACAATCCCGTTTCTTTGCTATGAAAAACATAAAATAGGTTTGCCAACTTTCTGAAATATTATGCCTTCAGAATTACTACAAGCAGCTCAAAGCTAAAGTTTCTTTCAGTGGAAAAATAATTTTAATTGTCTATGCTTAATTAAATGTCAAGAGGTTCACACATTTAAAGAAACACAAAAAAATCTGACATTTTCTCAACAAGTGTCCTATGTTTCCATGAATCTCTCTAGACTCTTGTATTCCAGCATTTTAGTATTTCCACAAGATTGCCCTGGAAGATCCTGGCTTAGCTATTTTCCACCCATTTATACCTCATCTTGTGTGTTACATCTCAAGCCCTCTTTTACCTTGAGGAATTAATTGTCTTTGAAGTATTTTCAGTTGCAATCAACACTGATTAGTTAAAGAAGGGCTTAGAAATGTTTGGTTTTAATTGCACCATTCTGTGATCAAGCAATCTTAATCACCCAAAGCACAGTAATTTATATTGTGATGTACTACAGACCATGAGGAGCACAAAGAAAAAAAATTAACAGCAAGAAAAATAAATATGTAGCTTAATTACAGCAGTATTAAAAATGAAATGCACAATATTTTTGCAAGTGATCAATCATAAAATCATAAATACCTGAGCACATCAGAAGTTTGATTAGAATCAAGTGGATGGGAGTGTTTACTGTG